GAGAGAGAGAGAACATCTCCAGGTAAACAAGGGCATATAATATTTAAGTGTGCATCTAGAATGTGGTGTATATCTGATACCCAACATGTATCTAGTATATAAATGTTCATGTATGTAAATGTGTATGGCATAGAGAGAAAATGACAGTGCATGCACTGGCTATTTTCAGGTGGCCAATATTCTGATCTAAACAGATTTAAAATGTCAATACTGTGAGTGGCTATCCTGATTGCCACCACTTGAATTCTGGAAGCCCTTCCTGGGATTGTGATGAAAAACACTGAAAATTCTGGTGTCCGATGGTCCCCTCATGCCAGCTTAACCCTAACTGCCTGAGCCCAATTAGCGGCAAATCAGATTTCCCCTTGGCTTCATCTGATGAAGACAGCTTTGGCAGCAGCATCTGCCTGCGCCAAGTCAGACAAAGAGGCGGGGCAGAAGGAGGCTGCAGAGAGCCGCAGGGAGCAAAGGGCAAGGCAGAGGCCCTGCGCCTGCCCTGGCTCCCAAGGCGGCAGCCAGAGTGGCTTCCCCCCATCCCTGTTGCCTTTCCACGCCTCCCCTCCTCTCTGCCAGGCTGCAGCTTCCTCCTGCATCCCGCTGCCCCTCCCTCGGTGTTGATGTCTTCATTTAAGAATGAACTTTTTTGCGCTGAGTGTACAGGTTTGCTAGTGATGCTGGTGAGAATCCCACGTACCAGGTGGAATCCTAGAAAAACAACTTGATGCTCTTGGTCTCTGTCTGTTTCTGCTTCTCTGCCTTTCTGCAACGCACACTCACACTCTCACACACACACTCATACACTCACACACAGAGTCCTGCAGGTGTGGACGCAGGTGCCAGCCACAAGAGGATGCAGGGGGCAGGGGGCAGCCATGGTGCGGGGCACCCAGGACAGAGACGAGCAGCGCTGGCATTGCATGAAGCACACCCGGCCAAAGCCTCCTCTCTCTGGCTCTCAAGGTCAGAATAATAGATTACCAAAGAGTGGAAAACTTTCCTCTGGTCAAGGAAGGAGAGAACAATGCCCCACCAGGCACCAGGTCCTTCCCAAAGGAAGGAAATGCACAGTGTGGTGTCCCCGGAGAGCCAGCGTCTGCATTGGCTCCCCCACGGATGGCTCTGAAAAACAATAGATGGAGACACATTCACAGATCAGACCACAGGACAATGACTTTGAAGGTGTTTGGATGTAGAAGAAATTGTCCCAAACATTACCATGGTTCACAAGAACCAAACGGTGTTTCGTGGCAGCTATTTTTTCTTGAATCCCTTGCAAATTAAGGTGGACAAATGTGCTCATGAAATAAACATTTCCCCATCTTCATAAACCACCGATAAGTAGAGCAGACCAACTAGTCCTTATCTCACTTCAAAAATCAGAGGACCGTTGTAGTAGTGGTGCACAGCTATGATCCCAGCACTCTGGGAGGCTGAGACAGAAGGATGGCCAGTCTGAACGCAGCTTGGACAACTTAGTGACTTTGTAAGACCCTGTCTCAAAAATTAAATTAATTTACAGGGCTTACAATTGGCTCAGTGTGAAGACCCTGAGTTCAATCTCCAGGACCATCTAAATAATCAAATAAATATTTTTAAAATTGAAAAGTAAATTTTATTTTTGAGCAGTGCATAGAATCAGTCCTCACACACCCTGACGCAACACGGAGCTGTTAACCACCATGACTCTCAGAAGAATGACGCTGGTTTCCAGGGACTGTGTCACGTGACTCTATAATGATGTCTCTATGCATCAAGTCTTGACTTAAAAGATACATAACTCAAAAACAAAAGTACACTTTCTCTGTAAAAGATGACACTTAAAAAACAATCCCAGCCACACTCACTAGCTTGAAAATGTTTTGGGTCCTCACCTTTTCCTGGGTAATCGAAAGTGTTCAGAATAAAACCGGACCCATGAGAACTGTGTGAGTGAACTCCCAGCATTTAGATCTCACTCCCAGCACAGTTTATTCCCAAACAAGTCAGCAAAGGGGTTGCCAAGTTACAAGCTCATACCCTAGATGCAAAACATCCAGGGAAGACAGCCAGAAATAGAGTTGGAGATTCCAGAAGTGCTTCCAGTGCCTGCCTGCTGCTCACCCCAATGCTGCTCCTTCCTACCCCTGGCCTCCTGGCATCTCCTGGCAGCTGCCAGCCCTGGAAACCAGTCTTTCCGGTTCCTGTGCCTCAGCCACCTCTGAATGTCCACATTATGGGCCTCTTTCCCTGGGGGGACTGCAGGGAGTCACCAAGTGAGGTGCTAGGGTGCAACCTTGCAGTCCTGGCTAGAGGGAGGTCACACTGCCCCAGGAAGCCACGGAGGGCTCAGGCCTACCCAGAGATTCCTGTGTCACCCCCGCCCTCCTCAGAATGGAAGGAACCACCCCCAGCCCCCTGAGCCGGGCCTTGAATGCCCAGCTGGGGCCTCTCAGCTGGAGTTTTTCCTCCAAGTTATTTATCTTTCCCTGCAGTTTCAGGCCAGTCACCCTCAACGCTGCTGCAGTTCCTCAGTCTTTGCAGAACCGGGACAGACGACTGTTGATTTCCAGATGATTCATGCTGCTGTTTACAGCGGAGACTCGAGGAGGCCCAGTGCCTCCCTCTTCTGCTGCCAGTCTCAGAACTAGCTGGAGGGATGCAGGGAGACCTGCCCAGGATCCCCTGCTGCCCCCGCCAAGCTCTGCAGCCCACCAGGTGCAGGGGGAGGAGGGAGGGGCTCAGCTCCTCCACCTCCACGAATCCAAATTCCTGGCCCTGCCTGAAATTTCACAATTGAGAAAGGAGAACCAACAAGGTCATAGTAAGATGTGGGTAAGACAGACTTCCCAGACAGCACCTGCTGGGTAAAATACAGGTCATCCAGATCCTTCTTTGCAATATTTTTTTCTCAATTATAAGATAATTTAAATATGCAGAAAAGTGCAGAAATAATGGATAAAGGCCTAGGTAAGCACAAATCAGCATTAGCATGTTGCCATGCTTACTTCAGATCGAGAGAGAGAGAGAGAGAGAGAGAGAGAGAGAGAGAGAGAGACAGAGGGAGGAAGGAGAGAGAAATGCGATCAGTCAGCCAAGCATCGGCTCCCTAGGACCCAAAAGCAACCACCTGTAGCCCAGGCAGGTTCTCTGCTGGGCCCTGCTTCCCCAAGGAGCCCCTTCTGCTGCATGTGGAGCCCAGCTGTTACCTGGGACTCCGGCCTGCTCACCAGCTGCCTCCCCACTGCACACTGTGGCAGCTTCAACCCCTCAGGCACCAGCCCCTGAGCCTCCACCTACCTGAGTCCCTGGTTCCAGGCTGCCACAGGGCTCCGATTCCACACCCCAAGCGTTTATTCACAGGAGCGACTCAGAGGGGCATAGAGCAGTGCCCTGCACTGTTATCCGCACTGAGCGTGCAGAAGGAGCTGGGTGAGGCTGGGTGGGGTGGGGTGGGCAGAAGGAAGACAGCCCCTGCCCCAGACCCCGGGCCCTGCGGGGGAAGAGAGGGGCCTGGCGGGCCGCAGAGGCCCTGTGTGTGCAGAGCGGGCCTGAGAGGGGACTTTGCGCTGCCGGGCCCAGGCCACGGTGCACCTGAAGATCCCTGGTCCCTGAGTTTACCGGACTGTGGGGGTTTCCAGTGATGACAGTAGCAGCCCGCACCCTCCTCATCCCTCAGCGGAGGGTGAGGGCAGCCTAAGGCCCGGAGGCCTGCAGCTCCTCGGAGCCCCGTCTGCGGCCGAGGTGAGTCGCAGCCGCGCGTCCTCGCCTTGTCTGCAGAGTCGTCTGCCCGCCTAGAAAACAGGGCCGCGGCTCCTCCAGAGGACTTGCTGCCTTGATTTTCCGGAGGATGAAGCTGGCCCAGAGGCTGTAAAACCGTAATAGGAACTGAAATGACACCCTTTCTCACTGTACCCCACACCCTGACTGTTTACCAGAGCGCAGGAGGGAGGGCCTGACCCCTGCTGACCCCTGATGCTCTCTGCTCCACACACCTGGCAGGAGCAAATTCACTGCGCTCGGTGAAGAGCTTATCACCCTGAGAGCGAAAGCCGTACAAAACGGAGGTCTTCCCAGGCAGGCCACAGAGCAGCACTCCATCTTCCTTCCCTCCGCTCCCCTCTGTGTACAAGATGAAGCCCAACACGGGCCAGAGAGGAATTTCTGGAAGTACCAGGATTCTCAGCAGCGATTAGACTGCAGCACAGACTCTGCATCGCCAGCAGAGCAACAGGGGTCTGGGAGGACACAGAGCATTCCAGGCAAGCACTGTTCCAGAAATCTGCCTGCTCCCCTCCGCGGCCCAGCGCTGCCCTGATGGAGTTTGCTAGGGGGGACAGCCACCAGGTTCCTGCCCACCTCACACACAGGCTGACTTGCAGGCACCAGGGCTGGAGAAGGGAGGGAAGCAGCTCCAGTTAGGCTTCAAAAGAGAGAGCAGACCCCACAGAAAGGCCATGGACGTGCACAGGAAGGAGGGAGGGATGGAAGGAAAGGGAAGGAAATTTGTCAATAATTAAGCTACCCAAGGAGCCAGTCTTGTTTTTTTAAACAATAAGGATGCCACCTTACCTGGGTCTTTGCCATCCTCAAGTCCAATCCTTTTGTTTCCATGTTGCCAATTCTTACGGACTCCACTTCCTTTGCTCAGCCACCAGAAGACTGTACAAGGCGTGTTCTGTGTCTTACGTTAGCTACGGAGCTATGTCTGCTGCTCAGGAGCTTCTAAGTCCAGGCCGACACTGGCCATCACTGCCACTGGTGAGGAAGGACCTGCATCTCTCCTAGCCGGAAAGCAGGCAGGCCCACCTCGCTGCAGACACCACCCGGGCTGTGTGATGCTATGATCGATCACTGTGATTTCTAATGAGAAGCAGGTCTTTTGGTCTTGGTGCCCGATTCCTGGCACGGAGCTCCCCAAACCCTTGGCATTCCCTGATCAATATGGCAGTATCTTTGGTCTTAACATTTGGTTTTTGACCCAGTACCTGACAGCTGACACAGAGCTCCAGAATTGCATAGGATTTCCTGGGCAATAAGACCCTCTTTTGTTCTAATGAGCAGGTCTTGGATGGGGCCCGGTCACTGGAAAGACTACGCCAAGAGAGAACCTTGGAACTCTCAGCCCCACAAGGCATCCTCTGGTAAGGGAGAGAGCCGGGGGGTGAGTTCATCACCGGTCACCCTAACACGCTGAAGCCTCTAGAAAAGTCCCTGAACTGTGGGGTTCAGGGAGCTTCCGTACTGGTGAATAGGAACAAACATGGGTGCAGGGAGGATGGCACTCCGGAGAGGACTCGGGATCGCTGTACCCCTTTCTCCTCTGTCAGCCCTATGCCTCCTCCCAGGTGGCTGTTCCTGGGCTGTACCCATTAGTAAGAAGTGGGTAAAGGAAGGAGAGTTTCTGTGACCTCTGTGATCAAACAAGAAGGGGACTGTGGGGGCCTTGGATTTGTACCCCAGCTGAACTGAAGTCGTGAGTAAACCGGAAACATGCAGCAGTAGCTGGTGTATGAGGCAGTTTTGTGAAGCTGAGCTCTTCACCTGCAGGGTCTGACACTATCTCCAGGTAGGTGGTGTCGGAATTGAACTGTACGATGGCCCGGTGTCAGAGAACTGATGAATGTGGGGAAATCCCACATATCTGGTCACAGAAGCATGCTACGTTGTCATCTTTTTTTTTGCATTAAGCAGTTGTATGGGGGGGGGGGTGGCTCCAAAGAATTGTTGCTTTTCATAAATTTCCCTGTTTTCCCTGAGGAGAGAGCATCCTTGGTCCAGACTGTCTTCCTGTCACCTTAGTAAAGACCTCAAACACCATAGCTGCTCACCAGGGAAGAGCTGAGGTTTGAAATTACAGGAATCCTGCAAATTCCATGGCCTGCAATTTAATCTAATTTTATGTCATTTTATTTTATTTATTTTTTGTGGCCTTAGAACTCAGACTGTGGCCTTCCCTTGCACAATCCAGGCAGGACTCTACCACTGAGTCACATCCCCGGCCCCACAGTGACCTCTAATTTAAAAAGAAAAGCAGGGAGGAGAGCAGGAGAAGGAAGAAGAGAAGAAATTCTTTGGAAAAAAACAAGAACTGTGGTAGGGCTTCTCATCTCTTTCCTGATTAAGAACAGCAAACTTAGCGCATACCAGCCACAGGCAATAGCTATTGATAGGGCTTGAAAAGAGAGCATAATGGAGATGGTGTAAGGATGAGGGAAAAAAATGTTAAAAATAGACCCTGATTGTCTATTACGAAAAGAGGATGTAAAGAACAATACTAAGTAGAAGACATTTAATGTATTTGGAGGGAAATGCTCTGTAAAATATAAGACATGAAGACTTTATGGGTAAAACAAGTGTTCGTTGCTCTCTAGAATAATATAAACACAGGGCATACAACATCTCAGAAATAAGAGCAATGTGTATCTTGGTTATTCTTTTTTTTTTTTTTTTTGGTACCAGGGATCAAACTCGGGACCTTGCACTTGCCAGGCAGGTGCTGGAACCACTGAGCTAAATCCCCGGCCCGGTAATCCTTTTTTAACCCAATGTTTTAAACCCATAATTTCACTGTAATAGAGTCATCTCATCTCGCTTACGTTAGTTTCCTCATCTGAAGAATTGATCAGAAGATGGAATTTTCCCTCTATGATTCTGGGAATTGTTGTAAAGTTCTAATAAAGTAAGAGATTGGTGCACAGCTTCCGAAAGTTAAGAATGTCCCTAAAAAGGTTGTTATGGAAATACAGTCATCGCTACCTAGAGGACTGATCCAGGACCCCCCCCACATAACCCAGATCTGCAGATGCTGAAGTCCTCTATATAAAAGAACATAGTATATGCATATAACATAATCCTCTGTTATAGATCATCTCTAGTTTACATAAAACAGCTAATACAGTGTAAATGCTGTGTAAATAGTTGCTATGCTCTATTGTTTAGGAAATAAAGACAAGGAAAAACATATTTTTAGCACAGATAGAATTAAAATTTTTTTTTGATTCATGGTTAGTTGAACTGGCAAATGCAGAACCCACAGATGCAGAAGACTAACTGTAAGCATTATTTATTATACTAGATTTCCTATTAGAGTAACTGAGAAAATATTGGTTTGTATAGAAAGAAAAAAGAGCCTGTAACGGCAAGGTTGAAGACAGACAGAATCCAGGCTTTCCACCAGTGCCCCCCACCCCCCGCCGGCTTACTTGGGTTTTCTCTTCAGGAGGCTCATGGAGAAGCTGCATGATGGTGCATCACACAGTTTATTTCATGTACAAAGACATTTCTTGAAAGCAGTTTGAATGAGGGTGGGAGAGAGTTAATCAAAGAACACTGAAAATAATATTGCAAGCTTTGTTATTATGTGAGAAAGCCTCCTGCAGCCAAGTTCCTGGAGAGGAAAAAAAGTCTGTGTGTGCGTGTGTGTGTGTGTGTGTGTGTGTGTGTGTGTGTGTCTGCATACTTACAAAACTCTTAGGGGTTGTGTATTTTAGGATGACCTTTCTCCATTCATCTTTCCTTCCAAAAAAGGAAGCGGTCCTAATGCAAGCTGCACAGGTCTCAGAAATGCTCAAGCTCCTTCCTCCTGCTGTGCCCAAGGAGCAGCCGAGGGCTCGCAATCCATCCTTCGGCACCCATGGCATCTGCAGGAGCAGGTGTGGCAATGACATGGGTTGTTTGTTTTTCAGGGTCAGATTGACACATTTCTAGGCTAGGGCTGGGGGTAAATGCATCTATTTCATTTCCAGTTGTCTGGCGCTCAGTTCCTGTGCATCAAAGGCAGGTTCCTGCATGCTGCCATTCTACACCCTTGGTCTCCTCCTCTGGGCTTGTGGGAATTCCAGAGGTGAGAGGAGAAGAGAGGAGCAGAGAGGAGAGGAGGGGGTGGAGGGGAGGACAGGAGTGCAGAGCACGGGAGAGAGGAAGGCAGGGGGCAGTGGGTGCTCTGGGACGTCCCCAGCTCATTCCAGGAGCCCCTTCTCTGGCACATCATAACCCCCCTTTCTGCAGGCCTGCTTTGCCCCGGCATTGGGAATCCAGCTTGTTTACACAGCTCATTATTCTGGCTTTGCAGTTGCTATAGGAACCACCAGGGGTCAGTTTATAGAAGCCAAGGAAGTCCTTCTGGGAAGTTAACACTAGCTCTTACACAAAGTACAGCAGAAATTAAAAGCCCAGCTACCAATGGAAGAAACACACTGTAAAGCTTCCTATGAGCGTAAGCATCATTTGGGGCCTAAGACTTCACTCAGGAGGCCACAGTTTGTCCTTTCTGAAAGGGCCGTTCCAGAACAGCTGATAGGAGAGAGATGGTCTTCCAACTGTATTTTCCTCTCTCCTCTGCCCCTGTGCCTGTCTTAATGGCCTAGAGGTATTTGTTCATAAAAATAACAAGGATGACTACTAGGGTTCATCCAAGCAAGATACTGCTTTCATTAATAGGGGTATTGAGAACCAGAGAGATCTTTATGAACATTATGGCCCCATCTTTCTCATGGGGATAGTGGCGCAGCAAACTAATTTCAAGGTCCAGCCAAACCTACCAGAACCCCTCTCCTTCTGCTGAGCATGCTGAGAAAACTCCTAGGATGCCCAATCAGTAAAGAATTTCCAGGACTACACAGCCTAGCTACCCTGACTTAACAAATATAAAATATAGATGCCCAATTGAATTTGATTTTCAGAGAAACGATTGTTAAATATGACTCTTGGATGAGTTCCATTTGACAAATTTATTTGGACAAGAAAAGTTTCCAGAAACAGGCAGCACTCTGGAGGGAAGTTGCTTCCAAATGTTCCTTCACCCCACCACATGTGCAGGCTGTATTTCTAGCCAGAGAAAAGGAAGTGACATCCAGAAACAAAATGATTGGCTGTACTCAGTATTTGTCTTCATGACCATGTTTCGGCAGCTTTCAGCCTCTGGTTGGCGGGAAGTCCAGCTGCTATGATCGGGGGAGACTCAGTTATTTAGCAAACTCTTAAATTAGGTTACAACTTGGTTGCAAATCAAGGTAGGTTTTAGTTTACCATATGTGGAGGGCATTTTGGGTCCAATTTTATCACTCAGGTGTGGAAACAGAGTCAGACCAACCCTATCAATTTCACACAATGAATAAATTTACATCAGTATATGTCCTATGCGCTATTTGGGACTTATGTACACTAAGTCTATCTAACTTACTCCAAATCTGTCCTAACCTTCCTCCTCATGGTCATTGTGGCCCCGCAAAAGTACAACATGTGCTCCTCTCTTACAAGAAAATAAAGCATCAAATGCTCATTCAGGATGGTGTAACCTTTGCATCGTCCTACTGATCATGAACAAAATGAAAGGAGGTGATCATAAAGCAGAATCAAGTCAGCCTAGCCACATACAGGTGAGTGCACTAATCTTTCTTCAGATCCAAACAAAATTCACTTTTTTTTTTCTGGTACCAGGGATCAAACTCAGGACCTTGTGCTTGCAAGGAAGGTGCAGCGCCACTGAGCTAAATCCCTAGCCTTGAAATTCACTTTCTAAAGGATAATGATTTTCTTTTGGGGGGGAGGGTCAGGAAAAAGTGTGTGTGTGTGTGTGTGTGTGTGTGTGTGTGTGTAAGAAGTGAATAGCATTTGTTTCTGAGCATTAGCTTGGGAAAGCCCAATGGGGCCAGCAGACGGTCTACGTCTCTATGCCCTCTTGGTTCTTTGTGTGCCTGGTATCCAAATACACACACTCATAGACCAAGAGAAAATGACATTTGCATTTATCAAAGTAGCATTCTTCCTGGCAATGTCTTGTGCTAAGAAAGATTGGCTCCTTCTTCACCAAGAAGGCTGGATCAGTGAAAGTTTTACTGTGTTTTGTAGAACTGCTAGAGAACCTACGCCACCGGTTATAATGCAGTAAACTATGATAGCTTTATGTCCATCTTGACCCTGAATCCACAAACCCAAAATTTAAGACAGATGAAGAAATCAGGAAGGGGATTGGGGTGTAGCTCAGTGGCTTAGTGGGCACCTGAGGCCCTGGGTTCAATCCCCCAGCACAGAGGTCGGGGAGGGGGTAAGAAGCCCAAACCTCAGTGAAAACAAAAGAAAAGGCAGCAATAATACATTCTGTCAGGCCCCTGCCAGCTCACATGGCAGGCAAGGGTTCCCACAGCTGTAATCCAAAGCATTAAAGGAAAACTGTCAAGATAACATCAGGTACAATAAAAATGTTCTCACCTGATACCTTAAACAGGTCAATATGGTTTTCACCCAGAGAGAGAGAGAGAGAGGAGAGAGGTTATTTAGAAGCTAATGCTAAAGTCTGGGATATGAGTTCTAATTTGTCCCTCCTCCTGCTTCTGAATGTGGCCCCTTGAAAGTCTGTGCAGTTAGTTCTATGACTCAGTTTCCCCGTGGGAGCAATGCAGCCCCTGACTTGGTGCTGTGAGTGCCCCTTGTGAACTGAAGGAGCCCTGTGAGCATCTATAAATCATGAGGAGCTGCTCAGACCAAAGGCAGGAAGTATGAAATGAGATTGTCTGTGCCATTCACTTTCTAAACAAGCAACCAGATTTAGAAGTTGGAATCAATCTAGTGTGGTCTGTCTAAAGCACTTTGAAAGGACTTCATTTCAGAAATCTGCTTTTCCTTTATATTTTCAAAAACCAGTATTCTCCTTCTCTCTCTCTCCCTTAATCATTTGTTAATAAACCCTGCATCTGAAGCTCAAGCTGTCAGACAGTGTCCATTTAACACCATTCACCAGCTGTTAAATGCGATAATCACCTGTTTATCCTCATGTCACTAATTCAAATGCTAATTGCACTGCAGGCTCTGGCTTATTCTCCCACTCAAGCCAGACCAGGTGTGCAGCTCTCCAAATGGATGCTGCGGGATCATGGGGCTCTTTGCCTCACTTCCAGTGACACAGACAACGCAGGGCAACATGCACACACACACACACGCACACATACACACACACACACACACACACACACAAGAATGAACAAACACACTGTTCATAACTGTGAAAAATTAGAAGTGACCTAAATGTCAAATTACTGTGAAATGAACCAAAGTAAATAGTCATGGAATGTAGTATTATGCAATCATTAAAAGGATGTTTATGAATATGGTTAAATAACACATAAAATACCTTCTTATGTTCAGTGGGAAAGGTAATATGCAAAACTATTCATATGAACAAATATATGGGAAAAAATTTGCACTGAGGATGTAGCTCAATGATAAGAGCCCTTGCCTAGCATTGTGAGGTCCTGGGTTTGATTCCCAGCACCACAATAAAAGAAAATGTGTGATGGTCTTAAAACTAAAAATAAAACAATATTTGGAGTATTGACCAGGAACAAGGGCCGTGCTAGAGGCCAGGATGCTGGGGACATGTGATAATCCTTGTTTCCATGGAGTTTGCATCCTGAATGAGGACAAAAGACAAGGAGAGAAGTCAGTGAACAAAATGTGTGCTTAGTGATGCTCCTAAGAAAGTTAG